ACACTCTCAGTGGCACGGAGTGGGATGGGGAGCCCAGAGTGGGACACACTCAGTGGCACGGAGTGGGCTGCGAAGCCTGGGGCAGGACTCTGGTGGCAGCATGCTGTAGCAGTGGGGAGGAGAAGTTGGAATCTCTAAGTTTTTTTTTGTTAATGTAAATGACACCTGTGTATGACAATGGTACACACTTTTCACTGTATTTTGCATTGCATATACGTGACAATAAAGGATAATTTAATTTTAATCCTAATACCTTTAATGCTGAAAAGTTAACCTGATTTGGCAAATCATGTACTCCTTTGGAATCTAGCATTTTTGACAGAAGTCACTGTCACTCTTTGTATAGTTCCATCCTATTTGCAGCAATGCCAGAAGTTCTCCTTCATCATTAATTTTCTTCTCTCATAAGACCATCAAAATTTGGCACCTAAAATATCAATCTTATAATATTTTTAAATCTTCTACACTGTTTATTCAACTGAATCATTCAAAACACCGCTCAAGAACTAGCGTCCTACTTCATTCATATGTAAGTACACATTTTATGTTAGACATATGACCATTTTTCATGGATTGACCCACTGTGACTTCAGTGAAAATGGGTGGAATCCAAGAGAGACATGTAACATGCTGTTGCCAGCTGTTTACACAATTTCTCCAGGGTTCCTATGGTGTCTCCTCCTTTAGTCTTTGACTGAAGGACCTCCTCACCTTCCCCTAAGACCTCCTGGGCCACTGTCTGCCTGTAGATAAAATAAGTGAAACTGCCAGTAACCTCTCCATGCAAAATAAAGGTACAGTACTCTGCACATGAGGTCCTTAAAAACTAAATAGACGCATATGTGCATAAAACATACATGATCAAATTGAACATACTTTCTGATGGCGCTAGGAGCAATTGTTGGTGTTTACTTTAAAGGAAGCGGTTAGACAAAATGGAAAGTGCAGACAGTAATTTTACATAATTGTATCACGTGGAGTTAATCTACCTTACTTTTGCATCAAAGCAGAGATGACTGGCTCACCCATCATTGGGCAAATGTCATTCCCTGGAATCCCTTGTGAAGCTTTCTATACTGCAAGTCGCAAAAGCAAAAAATTTTAGCAGACACCACCTTATGAGGTAATGAATCATGTAGCAGTGTTATTGTTCTTTGTTTATGAACAGGTTCACACGCTCCATTAGCAGGCAGTACCAGCGTTATTACCAAAGTGTCATGATTTATATTGCAGCTCAGAGAGCCATCACCAAAAGAATGCTTCTATACCATGTTTAAGTACTGACTAATGAGGTTCATGTGCTGCGAAGGAGCAGTAACAATAACATTTACCTCCGCAGTCTGTATCATTTGTTCCAGCTGAAAGGTGTGTTATTTATTAGGGAGGCAAAAATATGGATGACATATTAAAACTAATTATATGTCTGCTGCTTTCAGGGCAAGGATTGTTTGCACATACAAAGAGCCACAATTTACTGTTCAAGAACGGTCTACAACATCCCTTGCAGCAAA